TTCTGTTTCCAAAAGTCTCAATTATGAATGGCTTTTAAATGGCATATAAGGTCAGATATGACATATTAGGAAAGAGTAAACACATTGTGGCCAAGATTATCAAAACAGGGTCAGATCCCAGAAATCAATGAAGCTATGTCAATTTACATCAGTTAAGACTCTGACCACAGATGCCTAAAAGTGGGTTCTTAAATCCATATTTATGTAACTAAAACATGATTTTCAAAAGACCTGAGCACCCAGCAGCCCCAACAGAAACCTATGGGAGTTTCTGGGTGTTCGGCACTTTTGAAAAATAGACTAATTATGTAAGTATTCAATTAGCAGAGCTGAAGTTCTTTTTTCCCCCCCATCCCAGAAAATTTCCATGACCACACAGCTATACATAGGTTTGACCTTAAAATATTGGTGAAGCTTAATAAGATGTAACCTTGGGGTCCATCAATGTAGCTCATTCATTTCATGTAAAATAGGGTGAAGGATCTCCAAGCCACCCCTGTGTTGGAAGTGCAGAAGTGGAACCGAGATGTTGTATTCTGGGATCTATGCACAGTTGCTCATGTTTGTTTAAAAAACATTTTTAAATGACAGTTGTGCAAATAACCTCATGATCTGGGGGCTGCTATAAACCCCAGCCCTTAGAGACACCTACTGTGAGAAAAATGCTGTTGAATGTTAGCCATATATGGCATTTTTCAGACATTAACTAATTAATCATTGCAATGACCATTCTAAAGAGATATGTAGTTATTCTCCAAATCAATGAAGTTATATGAATTCTGCCCAACACTCTTTACTGTTCTTCCCTTTATTCATTACCTAGCAATGATTTCTGAACAATGTATAGTTTCAGCATCTGAGATCACAAAGAGGTCAGATTGCACACTGCCTGTTGTTGAGGTCAATAACCCTCTAAAAATGGTAAAAATAAATCTCATCCAAAAAGAAGTAATTACAGACAAATTGTCATTTAGTTAGGAAATAAGCAGTGCAATTTGCTTTTGCAGGGGAGAAAGACAATTAGATCTTTTTGGTCTCTTGTGATAGCTAATGGAAGCAATGTTTTTAATTTTTTTTTTTAAAAGAATATCATGAAATTACAGTTTAGGCCAAAACCAATTCCTTTTTATCAGAACATCATTGCAGGTAAAATGCATTCTGGTAGAGTAGAGTACTAATCCTTCAGTGGGAATGACAAATTATACTATAGTACCTTTACATTCAGGAGGAACAGCAGTCAGACAAAAATGTTCTGTAACTAATTAATAACCTGCCTCTCAGAGGAAGGAAAATCCATGTTGCCATTATTCTTTCTTTGACCCATTTTAGGAATGAAAGGCCCTTAAATAGCTGCTATTTCCAGTTCCCACTGGACAAGATTTCACAGTTCTAAGGGATAGCAATTTAAATACCTTTTGGCGGTCACACCAGAAAGGCCATGGGAAGCAAAGCATAGCTGTAGCACAGTGAACACCAGCCACACCCATTCTCTGTCTCCAGCACACACCCTAGGTTGGGGGCTGGTACAGAGACCTTATGTCTGCTCTGCTCCAGCTAGGGAACTCACCGGAGCAGGGGGTAGTTTTAGGGGGCTGTTTACACTCCTTTTAAACCACCATTACACTGTCAAAGGGGACATTAACGTACATGGGAATCACATTCAATTTAGGGTTTTTTAAAGGATTCCAGGCACAAATGTGTGTCTTTGTAGGTAGATTTTAGCCATCTCTTCCAATTATATTATCATTATTATCCCTTCTGGCCATAAAATCTACTACTATATTAATAACAACAACTAAAGCTGTCAAGAGATTTAAAAAATTAATTGTTTAACAGTGAGATTAATCACAATAATAGAATATAATTCATTTAAATATTTTTGGATGTTTTCTACATTTTCAAATATATTGATTTCAATTACAACACAATACCAAGTGTGCAGTGCTCACTTTATATTTATTTTTATTACAAATATTTGTATTATAAAAAACAAAAGAAATAGTATTTTTCAATTCATTTAATTCAAGTACTGTAGTGCAATCTCTATCATGAAATTGAATTTACAAATATACAGTTATGTACAAAAATAACTACATTCAAAAATAAAACAATGGCAAACATTAGAGCCTATGAGTCCACTCAGTCCTACTTCTTGTTCAGCCAATTGCTCAGACAAACAAGTTTGTTTACATTTGCAGGAGATAATGCTGCCTGCTTCTTGTTTACAATGTCACCTGAAAGTGAGAACAGGCGTTCTCATGGCACTGTTGTAGCCAGCGTCACAAGATACTTATGTGCCAGATGTGCTAAAGATTCATATGTCCCTTCATGCTTCAACCACCATTCCAGAGGACATGTGTCCATGCTGACAATGGGTTCTGCTCGATAACAATCCAAAGCAGCGCAGACTGACGCATGTTCATTTTCATCATGTGAGTCAGATGCCACCAGCAGAAGGTTGATTTTCTTTTTGGGTGGTTTGGGTTCTGTAGTTTCCACATCAGAGTGTTGCTCTTTTAAGACTTCTGAAACCATGTTTCTCACTTCATCCCTCTCAGATTTTGGAAGGCACTTCAGATTCTTAAACCTTGGGTCGAGTACTGTAGCTATCTTTAGAAATCTCACATTGGTACCTTCTTTGCATTTTGTCAAATCTGCAGTGAAAGTGTTCTTAAAATGTACAACATGTGCTAGGTCATCATCCAAGACTGTTATAACATGAAACATATGGCAAAATGTGCATAAAACAGAGCAGGAGACATACAATTCTCCCCCAAGGAGTTCAGTCACAAATTTAATTAACACATTATTTTTTTAACTAGCATCATCAGCATGGAAGCATGTCCTCTGGAATGGTGGCCAAAGCATGAAGGGGCATATGAATGTTTAGCATATCTGGCACGTAAATACCTTGCAATGTCAACTACAAAATTGCCATATCATGTCACTTTCAGGTGACATTGTAAATAAGAAGCAGGCAGCATTATCTCCTGTAAATGGAAACAAACTTGTTTGTCTCAGTGACTGGCTGAATAAGTCGGACTGAGTGGACTTGTAGGGTCTAAAGTTTTACATTGTTTTGTTTTCGAGTGCTATTATGTAATAAAATATATTTGTAAATTTCATTTTCACAATAAAGAGATTGCACTATGGTACTTCTAACAGGTGAATTGAAAAATATTATTTCTTTTGTTTATCATTTTTACAGTGCAAATATTTGTAATAAAAAACAATATAAAGTGATCACTGTACACTTTGTATTCTGTGTTGTAATTGAAATCAATATATTTGAAAATGTAGAAAAAATCCTAAAATATTTCATAAATTTCAATTGGTATTCTATTGTTTAACAGTGCAATTAAAACTGTGATTAATCGTGATAATTTTTTTTTATTGAGATTCCTTTTGAGTTAATTGTGTGAGTTAACTGCAATTAATCGACAGCCCTAATAATAAGTATTACTAATAGTAACTAATAAAGGCTCCAGCCCTATTGAACTAGTATAATAGGGTAGGGGATGCTGAGGAAATATTATGCATAACTATTGTATTCCCCTCCCAGCTGTTCCTCTAGGTCCAAACAATTATCTTAATAGGAGGATTCCCTAGTAACTAAAGCTGGAGTAGCACTCATGCTTATCTAAAGGAGGAGGGGAACTGAGACCCAGCCATCACAGCAGATGTGTCTCTTGGTCCTGCATGGATCAGCTATTGAGTTTAGAGAGGGCTGGACTTAACTCCTATATTTATAACCTCCTCCCCGTGCACCTGTGGCTCTGATTGGCTCAGGTGTTGGGTGGTGACTGGGTCTGGGTGTTACCTGCCAGGTGGGTTGCCCACAATGAAAACTTCCAATACAGCCACAAGAACAGCTAATAAGCATGTCTAGTAACCACCACACCCTAACTCTGAATGCTTCTGGGCCCCTCTAGCTGAGATGCCTGTCCTGTCCTCTGCATGTGTGCAGAGACACAGAGTATTTCAACTAAAATCTGTATCTTCTTCCCCACTGCTTCTCTCCCTTTCTTTGGGCCAAAGTCAAATGCTGTAGTATAAAACATGTGGTTTACACAAGATGAGGTACAAACACATAATAAAAAGATGGTCTCTGCCCCCAAGAATCAACACTCTAGATAAAAGAAGAGAATCAATAGGGGGACACAACAAACACAAGGAAGGAAATGGTGAGACAATTATGATCAGTATACTAAGCAACAGTCAAAACACACCAGTTGATTAACTATGTCAAGGGTTTTGTAGGCATGGTTACAGAGATATGTTTTAAGGAGGAATTTGAAGAAGGACATTGAGGTCGTTTTGTAGATTGTAATAGGGAGTGTCTCCCATGCATGGAAAAAAGCACGAACATATTAGGTGGAAAATTTGATAAATGGACCATCGAGACTGCCATATTGGCAGAGCAGAAGCGGGACTCGGTGTCTCAGTAGCATATAAGAAGTGATAGGATGGGTATGAAGGCTCTTCTATCTGAAGTCATAGAGTTTAAGGCCAGAAGATACTACTAGATTATCTAGTCTGACCTGCTATGTCACAGGCCACAACACCATCCAGAACCCTAAACAGAGCCACTGAAATAAGACCACACAGGAGACTAGACTGTTATGTTGATAAAATATAAATTGATCTTACAAGAGAGACTGCATACCCTAGAACCATCTCATTAGAGTGGGCAGGCCTGGGTCCCCCCACCCTCACTTATCACTGGGGTGCTGGAGATACACCACACCTACCTCTGGAAGGGGGAAACACAGATGACAACCTCGCTGAGTTGCAAAGAGGATGCTGCGTTTCTGGGAGCTGAGAGAGAAACTATAGGTGGGACCAGAGATAGAGTACTGGTGTGAAGACTGGAGATGTGGGCGTCAGCCTCAGACTAATCCCCAATATGACCAGGAGGCTGTGCCAGTCTGGTAATGAGAGCTGTCCCCTGTGACAAGGGCCTATGTATATTTTCATTTAACCATTTTTAATGTTTTTAGTATGAATTTAGGGATCATGGAAATTACCAGGATGGCAACCAGAGGGATGGAGATCTGCTATTTATTCACAAAACAGAGACAGCAAGAGGATTAATCATTCAAATTCCACCATGCTTCTGGGCCAGTGTGCTTCCTGCATGACTCAGAAGACAACTTCCAGCACTGAGAGGATACTTTGGACCCCATGCCCATTCAGTCCTTAGCTTCTCAGCTGAGACTGCCAATGTGGCTATGAATTAGTGCTGCTTTTCTTAACTTTTGTGATATTGACATGTGTACATATTGATTGAAACCATCCAACAGCCACAAAATAGCAGCAATTCTTGTCTTGATTAAGATCTGAATTGTCTTTACATAGGGTGACCATATTTCCCTATGCTGAATACGGGACACCTGGTAAAATTATTCTTATTCAAGTGAGAATCAATCAGAACTATGCTGTACAAACATTCAAATTAACACCAAGTTGCCTGAGCCCCTGTTAAAAAGAAATACTGTGTAGTTGGATTCTTTTTATTTGCCTTCTTATCTTTAAGGCTTTAGGGTTCACACAAGGAGGAGTGAAACATACATACTCTCGTACAACTCTCTCACACGGGGCGGGGGGTAGGGGTGATCGACTGACCCAACCCTCCCTGCCCAGCACTCTCCATGCCTGGCTGGACCCCCGGGATGAACCCGCCTCTTCTGGGACCTGGCACTGCATCTTCCCGAGACAACACGTTGGGGGGGAGGGGGAGATGACACAGCGTCACATGCCCCTCTGCCCCAGATTTCTGCCAGGGTTCACACCAGAACATGGCCAGCAGCAGCCTTCCAGCACTGTGCGGGAGGGGACCGGAGCTGCTTCCAGCCACAGGGGAGGAGGAGTGGGGAAGGGATGACCTGGCCCATGTCTTTGCAGAGCTCATACTTCTCCCTGCTGCTCCCCTTCCCTGTGTGGCTGGAAGCAGCTTGTCCTTTCCTGCCCGCACAGTGTTGAAAGGCAGCTAACGCCTCCAGGCTGCTGCTGGCCACTGACATACCCCAGTCGCCTCTGGCTACAGTACAGGTAGGAAGAGGTTAAGCCCTAAGGATGCATTGTGCACCAGGGCCCAGGGAACCTGACTGAAGGAGCTTCATTGAACCTGGCCAGAGAGGTGGCTCAGCAGCGGAGGGTGCCTAAGACACAGAGCAGTCCCACACTCCCTGGGGGCAGGACCCAGGGCGGGAGGGGGGGCAAGTGAAGAGGTTGCTAAGCTCCTGCCCCGGGGGCTGCCGTGGAGCCTGCAGGTTTGGGATGAGAACAGGCTGGAAATCGCTTCCCCCCGACTCCAGAGTTTAGCTGAGAGGCTGTGCGGAGCTTTGGCACCACAGGACTTTGCTCCCCCTGGCCAGAGTCTGGACCGGAGGGTCTTGGCTTTTCTGGGGCACCGGCCCAGCCAGAGGCAGTGTGGGAAGGAAGGAGCCTGCTGGCCAGGCTGTTGGTGAGCTCAACGTTTTGACCAGGTTCTGGTTCTCTGCACAACACTGAGAGTGGGATGCGTTGTGCGGAGAACTAGATATGGAGGTTGCTGGGGGGGGGGGGCGTGAAGGTCAAAGCAGGGAGAGGACAGTGAGAGGGGGAAGCACGTAGAGGGCTGATGGATGGGCAGCAGAGGCAACACGTAACTGGCTGTCGCCTGGCACCTGCCCGCACTCACCAGCCACCGCAGCTCGCAATGCATAGCCAGCACCGGTCGGAAACGGGACGGGGGACGGAGCCCTGCTGGCCAAGAACAGCCGGGACTGTGCTGATGGACCAACGGGGGAGCGGCTGGCCCCGCATGCTGCATCTTGGCCCCGCCACAAGCCTTGCACACCCACACCCATCATCGGCCACTGGACCCCCCACCTCCACTCAGCGCTGTTGGGTGGGGAGCTGGCAAGCAGGGATCTGGCCAGCAGCAGGACCTGCCATTACTGATGTAGGGGAGACAGAAAATATGGGACAATTTGCCCAATTTAAAGAGAAAGTCGGGATACCTGCAGGAGGGCTTAAATACAGGACAGTCTTTTTAAAAACAGGATATCTGGTCCCCTATCTTTACACTATTGATCTAGACCAACATATCCCAATACTAGTTATCTGAACCATCTAATCACCAAAATAAGGGTGGAGGGCAATTCACCCCTAGTCTACTGATGCTCTTTTTCAGTTTCTCCGCCCTGGTCTACACAATGAACTTATCTCTGTAGTGATACTGACCTACCCCTGGTGTAGACCGTGCTATGTCAATTGGAGGGCTTCTCTAGTCTACATAGCTACTATCTCTCAGGGTGGTGGAGTATCTATGCCAGTGGGAGAAGCGTAGCAACATCTTCACTAAATGCTACAGCTGCATTGCTATTAGCATAGATGAACTCTCTGTTTCCTGCCTTTAATGTGAAAATGTTGCCCAGAAGCCTTGCCTGCTGCACACAAATCTATTTGATTACAGTGGAGCACAATCTCAGAAAACTTCAAAAACCAAATGCACTCCCAGCTGATCAAGTGTAGTTAATAAATGTGCCTTTGGCAAAAGAGTGGCGATGATGTGACTGGAAGCGGCAATTAGACTAAGTCTAATGTTTGGTCAGTTCATTAGCTTTTGAAGCTAGTCAACACAAATCTGCATCCAATGGAAGCCCAATCTGGGAAAAAGGACTTTTCTAAATTCTGCAGCAAGCATTTAGTAATCTGCATGCACTTTCCTACCTTTTCCCCAGTAATGCTAACCTATTTATTGCCTTTCTAAAAATTTGATTAAAATTAAATCATTTCACAATACTAAGGGAGCAACAGAAAAGGCAACAGAAGACAAACACAAAGAAATAAGAAACAAGATGTACACATTGAAAGCAGCAAATGAGCAAATAAAGAAAATACGGTAGTGAGATAAAACAGACACCAGAGAAATTCAGGCAAGTTAAAATCATGGATTTGTTTATTTTTAATTTACCCCACAACTTTTCATTTCCTGGACTCAGACTGGGACTACATTGTGTACCAGGGTAGAATATGGACTAACGTTGTTAAATGATTGCTAACAGACTTTTCTGCCAGGAAGCCTGCTACCAGGTGCTGAATTAGTGTCAGAAAAAGTTCCTCAACCCAGTCTATAGAATCAGTATGACTGCTCTGTGCTTCTCTCAATCTGTACACCCATTTCCTCTCAATACCAATGGTAGTTCAAGGTCAGTACTTAGTTCTTGTACAATGAATTCAACCCTTTTTTCTAACTGTGAATTTTCACCTAACATATTTGGGCCCAATTCTGAAAAGACTTTGCAATTATTCAGGATATATGACTAAGAAGTCAATGGGACTGTTCACCCTGCATAAAGTGAAGTGTCTGCAGGATCTGTGCCCGTGTTTTTTATTAATTTGTTACCAGTAACGTAACAACCATTATGAAAACCTATTATTTCATTCTATGAAGCACTCACTACTATGGTTGTGCTTCAATATGATGTTGTTCTTGATAATAGTTTGTGTCTGGAGTAGCTCATGACTGTAAGTGCCTACCTCAGGGCAGACTGTCAAAAACAGGGTAGATACCAAAAACTGGTGGTATGTTTTATAATTAGATTTCACCAATCTACTAACAAATATGAACTCCTGGATCCCTGTACTAGTCTTACCATGGAGTCACAGACAGTCCTCCTTGGGCTCTCTAGTCTAACTTGCCACTCAGGCAACCTAGATTTAGTGATAATTTATCACTTACACCAAAAATTACAAAATATTCAGGTTGCTTCCAGTCCCAAAAGACGAGTGACTTACCCAAGATTGCTGTAAGATCTAGGGTAGCCAAAGACAATGCCTGTAGCCAATCCTGTAATAAACTATGTAAATGGTTATTAACTAGGAAAAATAAATGAGTTTTCAGATTAAAGCAGGCGAACATATAGACACAAATGAGTTAACACCTTTCGTTCCTAAAGATGACAGATGTAATAATCTGTCCATTCAAAATGTCTTTCAGGGTGGACCCTGAGGATCTCTGCTTTAATTTAGTGTCTCTGGCCTATCTTTAACATTTGGCCTTCCAGTCCAAGAGACAAGCTCCCTTTCATGTAGCATTTTCCAGGTGTGATAGGGCTATTCACTTTGTATTGTGATGTTCCTTAATGGCCCATTTAATCTTAATAGGCTAGCTGAATGGGTGGGTAAAATGATTCCCAGGCCTGGGTTCACAAGTTCAGAGCAAACATTTTCAAAGTTATAAAGCAAAAATTACATATTTCCCTGTAGCATGGAATACAGACATTACAAATGAGATTAATGCATGCAGAGACCTACAAGCATTTCATAGATTCTAAATGCTAAATATATTCTTATAAAACATATCTATTTTGAACAAAATTAGCATACAGGTGAGCTGGTTTGGTTTCCAGCTAGGAGTTAGCTAAGAATTGACAAACGCCTATGGTCTTGGCCAGAGATGGCACTTGGTTTACCAGTGTCACATTGTACATTACAGTAATGCCTAGGAACCAACCAAATATGTCCCAGGTATAGTAACTGAAAATCATTGCCATCTGATGGCAGTTTGGTGGCCTATGTGTAATGAGTTTGCTGGTCTGTCCAGATTCTAAAGAACAGTGTAAGACAAAAGGTTAATTAAGGGGAACTAGTCAGGCTTTTAAATAGACTGGCTGGTATCCTCAGAGGTTCTCTTCTCACTCTGCTTATTTAAAGAAATGTGACTTAGTATCAATTTTGTAAATGGTTTTAAAACAAACTTAATAAAATCTAGAAAACACATCACCAAAGCTTAGCACTGTTAATAATACTAAGCTAAAATACAAAATGAAGCAATACAGCTGCCAAATCGATATCAAATCACAGTCAAATTAACAAATTAGTCGCAGCACAGATTGGAATTAAATCATCAAATTAATACTAAAAACAATCAATCCTTATTAATTCTAATGGAGTCTAAAAAGGTGGCAGTCTATTTGGTTATAAATGTCAACCAAAGTCAGAGTGTACCAAAGTCAATCAAATCTATAACATGGAGCTGGTTAAATGTCTTCACATGGAAACCAAATTATTGCTTAATATTTGAAAAAACAACCTCATAGCCAATTTTAAACCTCCCTGCTTAGAATTCTACTCGTATGTGGTAGCTAACCCTTTCTTCTCCTCCCAGAAGAGAGATTGTAATTTTAAATAGAATATCCTTGATAAGCACAAATTTGACAATTCTTGCGTACCAGAAAAATACAGATGAGAATTTCAAGTCTCTCAGGACTTTATAAACATACTACACAGAACACACTTTAATGAGCATTTTTATGAGACAATATTTAGGGCTGTTTAAACCTGGGGAACTTTCTTACTGACATATTCCTATGCGGACTTTATGAGTGCTCA